AATGAAGATCGGCGCCGAAGATTTATAAGACTTGAGCTTGTGGAGCAGCGGGACGTGTTATACTCATTAAAATACTTTAAAGAAGTCATGAATGAGGTGTCCGATATGGGTCGCTTGCCTTTGGCTTGGGTTAAGCTATCCATACATACGAGCGTGTTTGTCACATAAGGGCGGTTTGGGGGATTAGTTTTGAACTGTGAATACCAAAATTCCGGTAGTGAAGTGATTTAGGATCGCTCGTTTCAGCATTCGTCGAACAACCTTGCAAAACATGGTAGTGTCATATCTGAGTGTTTTCCCAGCTCCAATTTCTAGTGCTGGAAAAAGGGTCGCTAGCAAGGAGTAAAAAAGCTTTATTATGAATTACAGGGCGAGTGTTGAAGTTCAACGGCCTCGCGCCATATTTTGAGGGGGCGCTGCTGACCTTGACACCAAGGTTCACTTGCAATGTCCGGCTGCGGTTCAAGGCTACACAGGGCTATATTTTTGAGAAAACTGTTTGAATTTGAGCAAAGATTAATTTGAGTTGGGATGTCACAGTAGGGTTTTGGTATTCTGTGATAGTCCTCAGTAATCCGACCTTCCTAACGGATAACGGGGCTAATATGTCTGTAGTTGCCGGGCAATAAACGGTCACCAGATTTGTAGACGGGCGCGATAATCGCTTCCTTCGTAGAAGAGAAAATTTTGCCTTCGTCCATCGACTGACGAAATGATAGAAAAAGTGTGATAGTGCAAGCGATGTTTCCTTGACAGCCTCTTCCTGCCCCAGCTAGCTGAAAGGATTTGTTTTTGCACAAGTTGGCGGACTTTCTCCTTGGCGAAACCCAAGTTGTTTAGGGGCTTTTCGCAGTTGTGTTTGAGTGTATGGATGTGTAGAGACTTCTGGGACAGAATACAGGCATGTATAATATACCCTGCAGATTTCAGGGAGTGCTATTAGACTACTTTAGAGATGCCCGTTTCTATTTTCCAGAAGAAGGTGGTTAGTTTGTTTCTTCTGCGGTATCTCACGTACTTAATGAAAACATATACTGTCTTTGCGATCGGTTTTGTATCCTGGTTGGTTTTCATCCTTTTAGTCGGTGGATTTCTGATTTACAGTGGTTCCGCATTTTAAGAAATGCTAGCTCATCTTCCGTGTAACCCTTAGTTAGCCTCTCAAAAAAGTTGCGGGCCATTTTCCAGAAGACGACAAATCGCTTCAGGTAGCCTAAACTGCGCGCTAGATTTTGGGAAGAACATTGCCTCGATAGCGTGAACTTTCCGGACAGTGGTCCTATATAACTTTTAGTCTAAAGCTGATCCCAGTCTAACTTCATCAAGAAAGATTCGGATTTCTAGGAAGTCTGGACAACAGAATTTTAGAATAGCCGTTTGAGGCCCCGGATATTTTGTTCAGTACCAAATGAAATCGAACACCAGCAAATATTGGTCACTATGTCCAGTGAAGCTTTAATTAATAATTGATCAGCGAAGTGCTTTTTGTTGGTGATAACTAAATCCAGCGAGGTTGATTGTCATGCGTAGCATCTGGTGGGTGCCGTGACATGTTAAGCCCAGGCGCTTTTTTGGATGGCTTCGGTCAGCGCCTATGCAAAGTTTCTTCTAAACCGGATCCGACGCAGCGCCATCCAGCGGAACTTGGAGCGTTAAAATCGCTTACCGGCAAGAGATGCGTAAAGTAGTGGCTTAAGGAGAATTTCTCAAGTATTTGAAGAGGAGGTAGTCAGCTTTCGGTGAATGCGGGGGAAAACATTAGACCATACCGAGGAGAAGGGACTCGTTCCCGCGCAGCGGGATTTGAATTCACAATGCCTCACAAAATGATGTAAGATCGATGTTAGAGAGGGCAATCGGGATGGGCAAGATCCCGTATAAGTTAGAAGTGACTCCATCCGCCCCCTTGAGTCTTTAGCCATCCTGGAAAACGGAGAAGCCCTCTAACCGAAATCTCCGACTTAGTGGCATATGGTGTGGGCATGTGATGTAAGTGCAATCACCGACGGCTGTGCAAGACGAGCTGATTGTCCAACATCTCAAAGAACAGACTGTGGACACGCACGTCGACACTCTCTCCGCCATGTCTGAAGGTGGGGAGACGAGAGGGTAGCAGAGATATCAGTTTCACGCCACGTTTGAGTCCGAAGCTCTGAAAAGGCCTCTGCGACATACACATACACATCCTGACTTGGTGTTTCCGAGAACTGTTCCTCTTTTGCAGGTTTCTTTTGCTCCTGATTGTCCGGTTTGGGCCGCTCCCTCGGTTTCAGGGGACGAGCTTTTTTCTTTCGCGTTCGAAAATTTCTATGACTGCTACTACCATCTTTTGTACGACTGGAGTTGTTGCTGTTCAAGGGTTAGCGGTAAACTTGCGTGCGAAAGTTTTTTCGGCTTCTCGGCGGAGTTTGGCTGGGAAGACGGATCTTTGTGGCCATATTGTTTCGTTTAAGAACAAGCAGTCTTCCTCTTGGTGGTTCTTCAGTGGCTTGTTTTTACAGAGGACGCCGCCTTGAATCTAACCAGTAGCTTTTTGATTAAGCGAATTTTACATGGTTTATTTGACTGCAGTGCTTTGTGCTTATGTGGACCCCAATTTGTCCGTCATCAGCAAGGCCAACTTTGTGCACGTGGGAATTTTGGTACACTGTTGTTGGGTTTGTGGCATGGGCTAACATGGCGATGAGCGACGACTTTGTCCACAATAAGGCAGGTCATATGTGATGAACATGATTGACGCTCTGTTCATTGCTCTATTCATTATTCTCTCGTTCTAACATTCCAAGAGCTGTGAACCCAATTACTGCACCCTATTCGACGGAATGTGGATAGAGGCTGGCAGTCTGCGCTCCCGGTGGTTGTGTGGTCCACAAAACAACCATCGACGTCCGGGTTAACGCTTGCGGTGTTTCTACTGATAGACTTGGCCGCTTCTGCGTAGCTGACGCAATTTAGCTTATAACTTCTGGGTTAGGAGTGGAGATCACCGCTGCGCCCTAAGTGTTCACCAAAGAAACATGCAAAGATAAATCCACATGCGATGGACGCTGCATCAAGGCGTGGCCTGCCTCCTCTCGAGGAACGCTGTCGTTGGTACTACTCGGCGGCTGGCTAGAAACCGTATCAGGAATTGCAGCCGGTTTCGCCTGCATTGTCTCAAATGTGTAATGGTCTATAACTACCATCGGGTTGGCCATAAGTAGAAAAGAGCAAGCTTGCTTCACACCTCCCATCTAGGACGGCTGTGCTTCAGTTTTGCGCCTCTGGGATGCAAGCCTCGGATATACGCTCAATTTTCCTATCCGCCTTTTGAATGCTGGCGATCCTCTCCTGCACATTCTGCACGGTAGATGGAGGAGAAGGTGGCTATAAGCCCAGATGTTTGTCCGCTTTCCTTTCCGCGTAATCACTGTGCATGAAGCGATCCGCATTCCGGCTTTGTGATGATGCCACCTAGGAGCAGGTGCGCCAGTATTGTTGGCTTGATGATTAGGGAGACCGACCCTCAGATGATCGGTCCGGACTCTCTCCCGCTACTGTCTGCTAGAGACGTTATTGTGGTGTTGATTGGCGCATAAGAGAACTGGATAACCTTCTTCGCAGCTTCGAGCTCAAGAAAGAAGCGCCAGTTTTTCGTCAACAATCCTGATTAAAACGGAACCTCCGTACTGGTCCTTCCAATAAGTGCTGAGGACTTGGTTTTGCTTAAGATGGCTCGCTTTTTAGTTACGGAGCACCATTGAGTAGAGGCAGCTGGACAGACAAACCTGGTCAGGGGAGTTAGATAATTGGCTTATCTGGTCGGATGGCTGGCTTTTTAGGTACGGAGCGCCATTGAGTAGAGGCAGCTGGCACAGACAAACTGGTCAGGGGAGTTAGATAATTGGCTTATCTGGTCGTCCCTTAGACGCCACCAGACCTGAAAAGCATGACATTGCATCCTACGTCTTACATTCGATCGAAAACCATCCCTTCGTCCCCTGTCATCAAATAATTGTAGAGGAGCGCTCCCTGTAGTCATCTGGCTCACTATTGAAAGTGGATGCCCCTGAGAAGAGGAATGCAATGTGACAAAGGTTTTCACGGACAGATTACCTTAGAGTAAAACTTCGACAGAATGACACGTGATAACTTCGTAAATAGATTAAACAGCGAAAGAGTTCTTCCTCAAATTTGCACGAGCAAGAAATAAGAACAATTTCGGACGTACTTGAAAGCAGCACAAGCCCCATGCATTTCTCTTTTTTAAAATATGCACCGGCAATCTAAGATTAAAATCGACAGTCCACCAAACCGAGTATTCCAACCTCAGGCTTGTGTGCAATTCTGTTGAAACTATCGAGCCTTCAGCTGTATCCGGTGCACCTGCATTTGTCATGATCTGACCAATGAGGCTTCAGTATTCAAAGGCCCTGGCTCGCCCTGCAGTTGTGCCGATCGTTGACTTCGGTGACCCATATGACCTCCCGTGCTGGCGCCCGCCCAACAGGCACTGATGGTACCGACTTTCGCCACAGAGAGAAAGTAGCCATGCAATACAATCAGGGGTAGGTTCTCCTATGCTTTTTGATGACGGATTATGCGGTTGTTGTTATCTCAGAAGAATTGCTGTGTTTAGGCCATACTGAGCATGTTAGGTTTATTGGCTGAGTACATGATTATGAAGCTCCTGAGCTCCTATTAGGATTGGCTATTGCGCTATAATCCCGATGACTCTGTGGTGTAGGTGGAGCTCAAGAGTAGAGCTTACTCACTCACGGTGCTGGTGGAGTTTTAATATCATCAAAGTACTCTCAGACAGAGCATAATACAGAAGAAACAGTCCTCAGTGAGTTTGGTAGCATATACACATATGTTCACACTTGGACTGTTATTAGGAATTTGAAACATTGCACGTTGACCTCCAATGAAGTCAGTAGTGATAAAGCACCGATTAGATTGTATCGGTTAAGGCAGAGTTGCAGTGGAAATAAGAAATCGCTCAGCTATAACACTTTTTCGGTGCCTAACTGCCATGCTACCCGAAGGAGGAACGGGAACTGGGGTACTGAAGCCTAGACAGAGGAAGTCGAGAGGTAGAGGTTGGGTTCGAACCACGTGAATAGCCAATTCATAATAGGCTAGGACGCCAAGTAGATCTGGACTAGTAAACACTTGACCAAGAGTTCCATTCTTCGTCGAGAGTGCTAGGTGAGGATGTTGGGGATGCTAGAAGACCATGGACGGGAAGTGAATATAGGGAATCTGACGATATACCTTGGCAACTCCAAATTTGTTGTGTGTACGTCAGTAGCACGGTAGACAGATGGTCCAAAATAGACAAAACATAAGAAAACCAAGTAAAATGGTAGGTCACTTACGTTGACTCTTGGTACCCCTAGCATGCAACAAAGCGGACCGTTCGGTGGGGGGGGGGTAGCGGAGAGAGTAGAGGGTTACCATCGACGCGTCTCTCCTCACAGCTTCACATATTCCTCCCCCAACCCTCTAATGTGAATATTCTCCTTGCAGGTCCTAGCACAAAAACTGGCATTCTTGTCAACCTAGGACCACACACCTTTTGTGAGTTGAGTGGACGTTACTGTCGCGCAATGGTCTGTTACCTCAGTAACCCAGTAAACTGCGCTGGAGGATACCCATTCAGCAGCCCTCCTACCGGGTTGTTCAGTGGATAAACCTCCGACAAACACGACGTCCTGATCCTGTAGCTTGGAAGTTGGAAACTTTCTTTTTCCTTTGACAGTCTCTTCCTAAACATTTGGGCTTGAGTAGCCTCAAATAGACCACTCCTGCCTTGTGGTTAGGCCTCCAAGCCAAGGCCACTTGCCCCCTTGTCCAGTTCAAAAAAACCTCACAGATAAATTCATCATCATGCCTTATGCAACTACGCCATCCTGTCCGTTGCAATGGTGGTGCATAAGCAGAAACACAATTTCCGTCTCCCGTCTTCCTTGATTGTTTGCTCCCGTTCTGTCCCACTTGACAGTCACTTATGTAGATCCCAGCTGCACGTATGTTGGACACCTATGAAAGTGGCACAGTGCATGCCACCGACCAACTTGCAGCCACACGTCCGCTATTCAGGCATCCTGTTTTCATTGCCCCCTTTAACACGAAGACTTTTAGGCAGATTGACCAGCAAGCTGCTCTTGTGCGTACTCCAGGTACTATCGACTGACGTCTGCTGCAGCTCTGAAACTCGAAGGTAGGGTCTAACCACAGTTGGTAAACTAACGGTTCCCTCTGCATTTAGACGCGTCAGCCTTCGAGTGATCTAGCAGCTTCAGGCTAAGACCTCGGTGCTCGACTGAATACATTTGAACAGCCGGCACCGTGTTGCCCGAACCACCACCATAAAATTTCGCACTGGTCGAAATACCATTTATGCACCAGCGAACTGTAGTTCCCATTGGCACAATGACAGCTATCAAAAACTCATCACCCTTATCCATCAGGAAGAACTAGGATATAATTATGGTGTACGGATGGGGTGTCAGTTCATCAGAGGCATGCCTTAGTGGTACGTTTAGTCTGAACACAGAGCGCAATGTTAGCAACGATTGTCTTTGGCAACGTTGTGCTCAGTTGTTTCTCGGTCGTACTGGGTTTGCTCTCTAAATACTGATCGTTTTGGAATACACAGGTTAATTCAGATAATGCTTTTGTTGGGAAAAAATTTCCAATAAATTTCCCCTAGAAAAAATTGCTAAGCCACGATTTGAAGAAACGTACCAAAACTTATCATGCAATGCACGAAATGCATTTGCCTTTCTGGAGGGCAGTGATTATAACTGAGTTAGGAAAACCGTGTCTTTATGTGGCGTCGAGAACTGCTTGTGGTGTTTCCGAGCTCGTACTCGATAGCCATTGCCTCAGAAAGGTTTCTCACTCCTGGATGCGAGGCGATCTATCCCCTCGGGCTCGGAATATAATCCCGCTAGACGACTACTTGTATGATAGCTGTGTGTAAACAGGGAGACGTGGTTATTGGTTGTTGATGGCTGTCGATCTGTTCGCCGAGCTTGGCAATTGACTTGCAAACGTTTCGTCACTGTACGCGGAGACATCATCAGGGAGCAGTTGGGTGGGACCAGAAAGTTCAATGAATAGAAGAGGCCAGTGGTAACCTATCATATGATGAAGACCATCGTCCAGTTCACTGGGCGAAATGGTTTTGAAACAACAGTTTACTAGCTTCTGCTCCTGTGCCAATGTCTTTCATTCAACCCGCTCATTCTAAACCGTGGTCTTTTAGTTTTAACCCCCCTTCAGTTGGCGAAATGTTAATGTTTTTCTGCCTTGAACCACGGTAGGCCTGCTAGGCAGTATGTGCACTTTACGAAGATAGGGAAAAATCTATGCGTTCTTCCTTGACCAAATGGTTCGCACTTATTATGGAAAGAGGACGTTTTCCAGACAATTGGGCCAATAGTTGGTCGTATTTTTGTTCTGCAAAAGTGCTCGAGTCTACCTTCAACCATTATGGTTCAGTTTTCTGTAGCACCCTTTCGGTGCCCGGCTGCTATGCCACCAGAAAGAAGCACGAGGGCTGGGATACTGCCAGGTTGCCCAAACCTAGACAGAGAAGCTGAAATGCAGAGGTCGGGTTCGAACGACGGACCCCCCAGATCAGTAAATTCGCCCTCTAACGACTGAGCCTTCTCGTGTTTATCGTTTTACGGCTACTTACTTCCCTTACATTATGGCGTCTATAATCGGCACGTGAGGTGCCAATCATAGGACATCAAGAATGATCCTGACATGACAGAAGAGTGTTTGAACAGCGCCATACGTACGGCTGACAAGCAATCGCGATGCCCCTCGACTTTAAAGGGACTGTTGGCTCTAGACAGACAAGCTTTTCTAAATATTCTTGGTCAAGATGGTATTCTATTGAATTTGGTGAAAACTCTTTGTACTCTGTATTTTCATATATCCGGTGAGCTTGGGTTGTACAACAAACTATCTAAAAGTCGACCATGTTCCGGAAGGCTGTTTTGTTTACTTGGACAGCTTAGAGTTTAGGGGATGTGGGGTTATTTAGAATTACCGGTTCGAGTATGATATAAAATTGGTGCCGCTGTAAGGGGGGGGGGGACTGGGCGGGGAAGGGGTCATTAATAGATATTGGATGTGGGTTGTGTCACCGTTCTGATGGGAACTTGTGTTGAAAAGGGAACAAGCTTATTTGTGGAAGGAAATTTGGTCTTGTGGCCAGCATGTTCTGGAGCGTGTAACATGGTAGAAACCCAAACTCAATGGAATTGAAATCGTTGAGAATACGAGATTCTGATGCCGGATAGTGAAGACTGCTCACAATCAACTTCACCAAAGGGAATAAATGGCATATGTCCTGGCAATCTGGTGGCCGCTAAACAGCAAAAGTGTTTGTTACAGTGAACTAGACTGAGATTGAGCCGGAAATTTTAAAATCATGCTTACAGACGTCAGTGGCAAGATTTTATGAGACACAAGGAGTCGGTAGAGATGCAAACTCCGCCCTTTAAGCGGAATCAATGAAGCGACGATTGTTCTGATATCAGACGTAGGGAAGGCCATTAGAATTGAAAATGCCGATTTCAGTGGTAAACGATGCAGCAGGGATGAAGTAGGATAAAGGTCGGCTAGCCAAGTTAACGCCACGATTTAAACCACAATCTCTTCGCTACGAAATTGAAATCGTCTGCGCGCACGAGAGAGGGATAGCAAATTGAAGGGGCACTTCGTTTTTAACTCCATTTTTATGAGTGCTATACCGCTTCTCCAGCGTAGTCTCGGTGTGCTGAACCACATCTACCAAAACCTAAGCAGTGATACCTCATCGGGCGACAGAGTTAGCAGTGTATTCTGGGGAGACCATTACCTTTTCTGCTGAATAAGTGGGCATTGCAACAACTCCAAGGACTTTTTCGTCTTTCCCCAAACAGCTGACACTGGATCAACGTCTGGTCTAGGTTTACGGGGTGGTGCCAACTCATCACCCTTTGACTGTGAGTTTTACTTAAAACTGCGCTGCGCCGTCAATAAGGACCTTGTTCTCGAATTGTAGCACCTTGTTACACACATATCGTGGAAGTTAGTAGGATGCTTCGCGTTGTAAGTTCGTACGAACTCGTCCACTTGGTCACAGAGAACACTTGCTAATTCTTGAACAACATCAAAACTTTATACTGGAATTCCATCACTGTAACCACAATCAGTGCTATTCAGGATGTGGAGATGTTCTCACTTAGTACACTTTAACGACTTTCACCTATGGGGAAACTAAAAAGTTCGCAGAGGCATCGGGTCTAACAACACTGAATATATTGTATCATTTATCACCCATTCTTATCCAAGAAGACCAAATTCCATCAAGCGAGAATTGCCTTCACGAATTTGTTTCGGTTCATGAGTTGTGTGTGTGATTGCAAATTGGTCTTGTGTCACAGGTTCGGTATAGATGCACTGATTTCTGTAGGAAATTCAGGTATGTTCTCATCCCTTCGGTTAAGGAGACCCCCTGGATTCAGGGAATTTTGGTTTCCCCCGTGGTTCTTGTGAGTACTCTTGGGTCGGTACATATACGTAACTATGTTTTTTGTTCTTATTGGTATTCGCGATAGTGTACACTTACATTCTTTTCAAATGGTCTGTTTAGGCCGCTGCTTAAACGCCGGATCCGTGTTGTTTTTATGCTTCACTTCGCGCTATGGTTACTGATGTTCGTTCGATTATTTCCCGAACTTTGCCTACGATTTGGCTTCAAAACTCGTTCGCTCGTTGAGAAAGTAAGTTACTCATTTCTCTGGTGGTCACTCATACCTCTTTCAATTAGTGGCCTTTTCCGCAGTCTAACCTCTGGGAGTATGTATGGTGCTTCGGTAGCTTAGTGCCTACCGTTTTTGGATATCTTTCGCTGAACAAGAATCGAGCTGGCCTAATGCGCATTGCGGTCACGGGTACTGTGGTTTTCGGCTTGGGTTCAGTAGTCGTTGGATGTTTCCAGAATGCGCTTGAACTACTCGAGTACTATGGAACTCGCAAAGCTAGACATTTTTTCTACGGTTTTCCACTTATTGTGCTTATTTACATTTTCTTCTCACTCTGTGTCCAGGTGCACGGGTTTTCTGTGTATTTTGGGTACAAACTCTACTCCCTATGGTCGCAACACAGTGCGCGCAAGTCTCGATAATTTAAACACGGCTGGTTGGCGTGTATCGGTACTTTATACATATACCCCTATTTCTTTGTGTATCTGCTGATTCTGTAGTCCTGTTGACGCATGGATCTTTTCGTCTGTGTTTTTTGGAATGTATGTTTCGACCTTTCCAGTGCATTCTCGTCTCTGTCCTTACTCTAATCGTGTTTCGCTATGAGTAAGTTGTGTGTGCTCAAAATTGTGAATATACAAATGATTGTGTCTTCTTTGAAAGCTTCCAACTTTCCTCGGGTATTTTTTGGTCAGGATGGTCGGCTTGTGCTTTGTATAGTCGGTTCTTGGTCGGTCTAGTCGAGTTACTATCTGTAAAGGTGGATGAAGCCATCTTCTAAATGATAGTAAACTTCCCACAGAACTGCTGTCATGGACCGCTGTTGAGCAAGTCCTCCGTAAATGACAGCGGTTGTTTGGCTGTAGCACCCTTTCGGTGCCTAGCTGTCATGCCACCTGAAGGAGGCATGAGGACCGGTATACTGCCAGGTTGCCCAAGCCTAGACAGGAGAAGTTGAGAGACAGGGGTCGGGTTCGAACCACGGTCAGCGAATTTGCGCTCTAACCACTGAGTCATCTCGCCCCTCCCGTACATAGCAGCGGAATACCTATTTAGGTAAATGGGCGAAAGTGGATTTTGGGTGGTATAGCCCGACGCCCGGTTGTCATTTCAGTCGAGCTCGCCAACCTTTGGTTTGGTTGGTTGGTTTCCGACGCATAAACCACCTCAATTCAGAATACCTCGGGAATCTTCTGTCCACATTGGCGACACTGGTCTTCTGCATATAACACATTCTCCGTTGCCTTGCTGATCGTACTCGGTCGGCTAGAGTTCGAAGTGAACCCTCAATAAAACGCGCAGTGACACTGAGGACGTCACTGTTTCTAATTCCTCTTCGGGTTTCATGGTCATTTACGAAACCCGTTCATCCTCTCGTAGGAACCAACCGCAATAAAATAATACAGTTCACTCCCATTGTTAAGGGTTCCGTGTAGCTTCTGCATAATACTTTGCTGTTTATACATTCTTGTATCTTGTCACATGAACCACGCTCCTCGTGAATAATGATTGTCTGACTGAATGACCAAAGTCAAACAAAATGGTACCTCTCTTGTCCAGCAAGCTCCAAAAGCGATTTTAGGATGTTGTCCAGAAATCTTTCAGTTTCCAGAATGCTTTGCTATTCGAAGCGTTTCGCTGAAAACCCGTACAATTTCGCGACTGTGATATTCTGCGTTGCATTATACATTGCACAAGAGAAAAGTTTCAGAGGTTCCCGTGAAATACTTAACCCAATAAAATTAAACGAATGTCCAAACAAGGATCAAGGAAACGGGAAGAAAAACATCACCAACGAAGGCAGCTCCGTTAACAAACTGTACACTTCTGTTCGGGTTCCCAAATTAGTGATAGAGTGACCACGTTCCAGCTGCGAGATTGTGGTGCCGTGCGCTGAGCGTTTCGTTCCGCTACTTACGGGTGGCGTTTTCCCGAGTTGTGACGTTTGATGGTTTCTTTGTTGTTGGTTGTTGTTTTCGATTTAGATGTTGCCGTCGTCGTGGTTTTATGTTTTTATCGCTGTTGTTGTTTGTTGAATGGTCCGTATATGGTAAAATGGGATGACTGTTTGTGATGGCGAGCTTTCGTTTGCGTATGCTGATGTGTTTTCGTGGTGACTTGGATAG